TATATATATATAAATATAATTTTTTTTTTTTTACAGAGGTGTCCCTAATGCCCAGTAACAGTTTAAATTTAATAAGGATCCAGATCATGTGTGAGTTTAAGCTTTAGGTCAAACTCACAAATTTGCTGCTTGGTGTAGGTCTGTGCTCTCAGAGTGCTTTTTTAGTTTACAGATATTTTTTATAAGCTAAAATAAAGAACTTTACATTTATTAGAAAATCTATTAATAAACAACTTCATTTACAAATGTGCATGCAATGATATTGACCAAGTGAAAAGTCAGCAGTAAAGGAAGATGTTTTGAGAACAATATTATTGACAAAATATTACATCAACACAGAACAGTGGGGACTATATATATATATATATATATATATATATATATATATATATATATATATATATATATATATATAAATATATATATATTAAATAAAAACTGAACTTTTTTTTTTTTACATACAGTAGGTTGTCAAGCGATTCTTTCACTGGACTCTCAAGTGAGCACTAATATTTTTAGGACATTATTCAATGTAACTAAGATCAATGTGTTTTATTATAGCATCACCAACTAATCATTTTCTGTTTTGGCCATGCACCTAATATAATTTTCCATAAACTATTGAGAACCAAAGTACATTCTGTCTTTATAGAATAAAGAACTTGGTTAACCTGTTCAAAGAAGGGAGTCAGATGTTCTGCTATGCACACAGTGTGTTAGAGTGATTTTAGATGATTTTAATTTTATCTTTAATTATTAAAAATAATTAAATCAAATATTTAAGTGAATATTGTGCTTTGATTGTATACACAAAGTACTTGAATGATGCTGAATTGTTGTTCTTGACTGCTATATCCCCTAGGATACAGCCTTGCTTCTTTGTACTCCACAGGCTTTGTTTGTTTTCTTATTTTTTTTTCTAGTTGATTGGATTGACTGTGATTGGTTGCAATCTGGCCTCCCATTTTCTACCACTTCAAACTTTCTGCTACTGATTGGATTGGTGTCAGATTAAACCCCTCACCCAGATTTTTTAACCCTTTCTTCTTTTATGAGCTATTATATAACTACACACTGTCCGTGCTGTAACTAAAACACATTTACAATAAGTCTATATTATGACTATATTGACAAACATATCTTAGAA